AGGTGCAGAAAAGAAAGAAAAAAGAAATAGAAAAGAAAGAAAAAATAATATAGTAAAGAAAAAGAAAAACATATAAAGAACTGATTTCCCCCTTCATCACAACAAGTACAAACAATTTTAGTAACTTATCCCTTACTCAATGACCTCTTCTTCCCATTTCCCATCTCTTATCTATAAACAAATCCATAAAGCCTCATCATTTTCAGTCCTGGTGGCAGCAAAAGTCCATTAAGGGTTACTAGAGATAACAGTGCATCTATTTTAAACCGTGATCACATAAGCCAACTTTATATTCCTTTCTTTTACTTCTAACACTCTTGACCTTTTGTTCCTTCAAATAATGTCCTAAAACTTGATTTCTTTTCTTTTCTTTTTTTTTTTTTTGTCCCTTCCCACAAAATTCTTCACAACTTTTGTAAATCCAATATATGAAAATTATCCAGGTCACTTTCTTGGTTTGTTGTTTGTATATCCCATTTAATTATTAAGACATCAGCCAGTTTCTTTTGTGTATCCAATGCAGCAACTTTTTCCATCTCATTCTTGTAGTTTGTCATTTTTAAATCTTCTTTCAAATCAGTCTCTTATTGTTCCCAAATCGTAGTCTGCATGAACTCAAATGTTCCTTCTTTATGAACTATATTATGTCATAATATACTTATATATATAGCTCTGGTATTTATAGTCTATTTAAACATTCAGTATTTAATGTAAATGGATTTTTAAAAACACTATTTGCCCTTGATGATGCTTGTAGTACACTGATTACATATCTCATTTGACAACCCCCCCCCCCACAGAACCATCTAAATTGAGTTGATAAGAACAGTTGCTGTATTGATTTGGATTAGCAAGGGTCTATCTGAAAGAATTTGGCATAAGTACATAGCTTCTGTTGGAAGAGCCAGAGTAATCAAGTACAATGCACTTTTTCTGTTTTTCACAGATTATCTGTTTTGATAAGCTATAGCAGAAGAACCAGTGAAACTAAAGACGCTACTTCAGAGGCA